GGTTTCTCGAATACTGCAATAAGCAATATACTTCTATCAGATTCTAACCCGGAGATCACGTTGGCGTGTGCAAAATTTTTTAGCAGCGGCTTACAGAATTCATAGACAGTATGTAAAGGTCTGATATAGATATAGATTGTGTGACATTTCATTCTAATTATTTGTAAACGTTCCAGTTCTTTTTCTGTCTTTACATTAGTATCTAAATTTGACATTATTATAGTTATATTTTGATATCCAGTTTTTGATGTATCTGGACTGTTTTGTGCTGGTTACGAACTGTAATAAAGTGATGATGATGATGATGATGATGATGATGATGAAGGTGAAACGCTGGGTTTGGGGTGTGTGCAATAGGTGTGGGGGGGGAAACGCTTCACCTTTTATCATTGGGTGGCACGCTGAACCTGAGGCTGCCAGCTCTAGGAAGCAGAAAATCCCGACAGCTAAGTAAGAGCCTGGGGGAGGAGCTCTTTGCTTCACGGGCGGAGCCCACATCCAGGGGGAGGAGTCCAGCCAGATTTTGACCAGCTTGAGGGAGGAATCCAGCATCCAAGATAGAGAGCCCATGCAAAACAGGCGTGTAGAGAAACATAGTGAAGGCCAAGGTGAAAATACCGTCCACGCCCCTCCTTTTCCGGCAAGTGGATCAGAATCAAAAGCAAAAGAACCCCGCTGACCGGGGCAGTGTTTCTGTAGTCGTTTTTGCAACTCTGTGCCGCTGGCCGAAGAATGCCCATTCTGCTAGGGAGGCTCACCGAAAACGTGTGCTCAGAAGCAGACGGCAGGAACCGGCCGGGGCTTGGTTATGGTTATGGTTGGTGGTGTGTTAAAGCAGCCCTTTCTCTTCCTCCCCAGCCAAGAAGAGAAAATCCGATAAGGTAAAATTTTCAGTTACTAAGCTGGGGGTGGGGGTGGGAATGGGCACGGCGGGAGCAGGTTGAAGAACTGCTTTTGCAGCCTTCGTGCAACAGGGTGGCTGCAATCCATGGGGAGCCCCTTCCTCGCCCCTCCCCTTGAGAGGCACCCTGCTGTTTTTCTCTGAATGTCACGGCCAGTGTTCCCTCTAAGCTGAGTTAGTGTGAGCTAGCTCACAGGTTTTCAGCCTCCAGCTCACACATTTCTTTGACTTGGCTCGGGAAGGAGGGCTCTAGAGCAAACTAATTTATGCAGCAGCCAAATCGTTCGCTCACCACTTTAATGCCAGTAGCCCACAAAGCAGAATTTTTGCTCACAAGACTCCACAGCTTAGAGATGGGGTGCCAAACATGCGGCCCGGGGGATGGATCAGGCCCCTGGAGGGCTTCCATCAGGCCCACAGTGGAACTGGCTGTCTTCTACTTCTTATTCCAGTTCTGCTGCTTCTGCGTCATCGTAAGTTTGCAGCTTACAGATGCACACCTGAACAGCATGCTCAGGATTGCAAGAGCACAGACATTTTGATGCCATAATTCAGAGCAAGAGGTGTCAGTTATCAGACACTGTTAAATAACGTTTTAAGCAAGTTTTTATTTTAAGTTAAAAAAAAAAACCCTTTGTGTTTATGTCCTTTATAAAGTTTATATCTCCGCTACCTGGACTCTAATCTGGACGATTACATTTTATGACACGCATGGCCCGGCCCAACAAGTCTCATTTATGTCAGACCCGGCCCTCATAGCAAGTGACTCCGACACCCCTGGCATAGAGGGAACATTGGTCATGCATGGCCTTTGTCTTCGCTGCTGAGCTTGGGTTGCAAAGACCTCACTGGGAAGTGGTTAGTGAAGAGACCCAGGTTCCTTGGGGTGACCTGCTAGTAGGTTTTGCTCTCACTTGGGAGTGGGGAAGTTGCGTGGTGGTGGTGGTAGTTCAGGGAAGTATCCCCCCGTTATCAGCTCAATGCCCTGACCTGGATAGCCCAGGCTAGCCTAGTCTTGTGAGAGCTCGGAAGCTAAGCGGGGTCAGCCCTGGTTAGTATTTTGGTGGGAGACCTCCCAGGGAGCCCAGGGTCGTGACACAGAGTCAGGCAAGGGCAGGCCGCCTCCGAACGGCTCTTCCCCTGAAAACCCCACCAGGGTGGCCATAAGTCAGCTGTGACTGGACCACACAAAAAAAAAATCGATACCAATGGCCCTAAAAAAAATCACCCTTCTTCCATATGAACCAGTTCATCCGCTGA